CAACTAGATTCAGATAATCCTCGGCCAATTGCCTCTTGACGAGGTTGCACAACGGCGTGTCTGCTTCCATCGAAGGGAAATCGTTCACCTCGAGCAGCCAAGGTCTGCATTCTCTGTCGAGTAGGACGTCAAAGCCGAAAAGCTGGTAGAAATTGTACGTCGTCAGCGAGCTTTTCCTGCAAGCCCTGTACAAAGAGGGTTCCGCGGAGATCACGGTTTTGACAGCGATGTCCTTGATCCTGGTCCAAATCTCCAGAGTGTCCACGCGCTCTGTAGTGGCCAAGTACCTCCACAGACAGTTCAACGACCACATGTTGCCCTTGCACGCGTCCGGATCGTCGTTGGTCTCAAAGTTCGGGCTGGCCTTGTTCACGCTGGTGTTGGTCAAGTGCATGAACCTGTCTGACAGAGTGTCCACACGATCGACGTACCTGATGGTGGCCAGCCTGACCAGACCCTCGTTGTAGACGTAGATCCTCAGAGGATCGATGCTGGTCAACAGCACGTACAGCCTCACGTCGAATTTCACGCCGTCGATCAACCTAGGCGGCGAGATGTACCTCTGAGCCACGTACGGGCGATAATTGGGGATCTCGTCGAGATTCGACACTATCTTGATACCATTACCCGCGCAACAGTCCGGCGGCTTCACGATCCAGATCCCGCCATTCTTCTCTATCGTTCTCTTCAGACCGAGCCTCTCGCCCGGCAGAACGAACGTCTCTGGCATGTAGTCGAAATGCTTCGCGCCGCACCTCCTCCTCATTCGGCGGAAATTTCGCCACAGCAGTATCTTGTCGCCCAGTTCGCCGCTGCTAGGAAAGTGATTGATCTTGGAGTAGTTCTTCGTCCGTCTGAGTTTTGCATAAGCACCAGTGCTGCACCAAGTGCCGCACCAGTTGTCAGCGAGCTTGCTGGTGGTCTTGAATCCAGACCTGCGCACCATCGCCACCACCATCTTCGGCGTGTTTTTCTTCGTCTTCCACCAGAGCAGATGCCTGGTGATTTGGATCGGCAGTCTGGTGGTTCCGTTCGCGCGGAAGACGATGAACGGGGGCACATAGGCGAACAGGCTCGAACGCATCGGTAGCGACAAGTTCGTCGAGTCGCCGGAACCGACCACCGGATCGTTGACTCGACGAATCGGTCTGGCCAGTATCAGACGTTCGGTGATGTCCACGTAGGAGTACATCTCGTCGTCCTCAGAAGTGTAGTCCAATGACAATTTACTCGAGCAGGTACTCGTGCAGCAGTCTCGATTCGATCGCACCGTCATGCCGATCTCTCCCTCTGCCTACCGAGATTGTTCCTTTTTCTTTCTTTTTTTTTTTTTTTTTAAATTTTTATTTTCGTACTTTATTCAGGATTTCTCGTTGAGTGGAATTCACCGGGAATTTGAAGTGTTTGGCCGAAAATGAAGATAGCTTGGTTAGGGTTAACGAAGGATGAGAGGAGTGAAGTTAGAAAGTTCTCTGGGGTGTCCTACTTACCTTGAAGTTGAAGCTTTGCGGGATCGATAGACGGTGATTCAAAGTTGTGAACAGAAATGACTATAAAAATGAAATTTGTTGGTGTGAATGTTAAGTGGATGCTGAAACGTATGTTGCAAGTGAAGTGTATGGCGAAGAGTGCAACGTAGGACAGGAAATTAAAACACACGTCAGTATCAATCCCTATTTTTTTTTCTTTTTTTATTTTACCATTGAGAAATTAAAAAAATTACAGTAATACAATGTTCGCAATTATTGACATTTTTATTTACTTATCTCTTACTTTATTTCGCGCTTGATACAATTCACGAAAGTAAAGCTTTCGGACAGAAAGTATTAATAAATTTTATCCTCTTGACCGATTCGGATTTTGTTCGTTAACACGTTCCGTTATATATTGGAATTATTAATAACAAACGAAGGAAATTTATCGATAGGATGATTTTTAAATAAACAAATATAATAGTAATTGTTATCTTTCTGGCGATTCAAGAATTAAATAACTGTAAACTAACAGTTTCGTTTCTACAAGGTACTTCAATAAAAATAAATTTTCAATAATAATCATCGAATGACGTTCTACAGTGATTTTCGTCTTTCAAAGATTAAATATATTCCAATTTAACCGATAATTTTCGATAAATTTCGATATTACTACTTACTAATTTTATCACATGTACGTTAACATAATTTTCAATGATTATCAACTAATCTTTATCAAATAAAAAGTTAGATATCCCATTAATTAATTTTATTTTATAAAAAAAAAAAAAAAGAAAAGATATGATATAAGAAATGAACGTGTTACCAAACATTTACGAACGGTCCTCGGCAACAAGTATCACAAAAGAATTCTACAAATCTCGTCTGGATTGTTTCCACGTTTCTTCCCGCGGTCGCAAAATACCCGGGGGAATACTCGAAATTCGAAACGAAGAGAAACAGAGGAAAGGACGTTGTTCGCAACGTCGTGAAATGATTTATCAAGCCAAGAACATTGTCGTACGTCTAAGGAAAGATTTGCACAACCTTGTGAAGAAGGCACATGACGTGAACATTTTGTTACGTATACGTCTCTCTAGACCGATCGTTCGTATACAACAAGACGGCGATACATGTATATGTATACTTATCTATAATGTATTCGTATATAAAAGAAAGAGAGAAGGGATTTTTCTTTTTCCTTTTTTTTTTTTTTTCGTTTTCGTCTCTCCTTTTTGCTCCTCTCCGAAACGCGTGGTCGCGTTGCTCCGTCGACGAGTGAAAAACGCGTCAAAAGCACGAAGAGGAACGCGACGATTAACAGACGGTCGGCTGCTCCAAGTGATACTTCTGCTGGCAGAGTTTCTCCAATCTCATGATCCCCTCGGACCTGTTGTCCGCGTACTTCATCTCCCACGCGTCGAGCAACATGTTGTAGTACCTCGGCACGTCGAAGTACTGCAGGTACGGGTAGCTGGTGGCCGTTGGGAATATCTTCTCGAAACAGTCCAGCTGCGTCAGCTCGTCCTCGTACATGATCAACTGCCTAACGTCGTCCGGTGTCAAGTTCTTGATTATCGGTTCCAGATACTCGTCCCGATCCTTCAGATTCGTGTACACCGACTGTTTCACGCGTTCCTGGTAGCTGAGCACGGTCTTGTGCAGCCTGTAGTCCTGACAAACCACGTCGAATCGGTACTTGTCCGCCAGTTTCTTCGCCTCTTCGGCCGGTAAGGTGTTGGGCAGTTGATAGCCGGCTATATTGAACACACTCTTGATCAACGGCCCCTTGATAGCAGTGTCGAGGGTGGACGAGGATTGCAACGAGGGCGAGATGTTCACCTCGAGCAGCCAGGGTTTCAGATTCTCGTCGAGAAGAATGTCGAAGCCGAACAGCTCGTAGCAACAGTAACGGGACGACGTGTTCACCCTGGTTAACGGCGTTATGTTCGACTCGCCGGCGATCATCGTCTTGACGACGATGTCCTTCATAGTGGCCCACAGCTTGGAGACGTTCACGTGCTCCCTCTCGAGGTAGGACCAGAGCGTCCTCAGTGCCCACTTGTGCCCGGTGCACGAGTCCACGCAGTCGTTGCTCGTGTACGTGGAGTTGGTCTTGTTGATGCTGTAGTTGGTCAGGTGCATGAAACGGTCGCTGAGGTAGTTTATGTCGTCGTTGTACTTGACCGAGGCGAACCGGACCAGTCCGTTCGGGTAGATGTAGACTTTCAACGGGTTGAAGCTCGTGACAAGGACGTAGAGACGCAGGTCGAACTTGGCGCCGCTGATCAGCTTCGGCCTGGACAGGTACTGTTGCACGATGACGGCGCGTTTCCGCGGTATCTGCGACCAACGGTGCACCACCTTGATCCCGGTGCCCCGGGCGGATGCCGGTGGTTTCACGATCCACTTGGCCTTGCTGCCGACTTTCTTCCACACTTGCCGGAAACAGCTGAGATCCCGCGGCAGCACGTACGTCCTCGGTATGAAGTCGAACTCCTTCACCTCGTGTTTCATCATCATCCGGTTGAGGTTCAACCAGAGGCAGTCCTTCCGGCCGATCTGGAACGTCCCCGGGAAATGGTTGATCTTCTGCGACTCCTTGAGCGTCCTGAAGCACGAGGACTTCATGTGCTTGCCCCAGGTGCCGCACCACTCCTGGCATCTCTTCATCAGTTGAAAACCTGAGTTGATCAATGTACGACGTACGATTAATGGCGTGATCGTGCTGAGATGCCACTTCAGGTATTTGGTTACTTCGTGGGGCATGATTGGTCCCTTGCAGTCGAACGACTGGAACACGATGTACGGCGCCACGTTGGAGAACAGGCTTCGCCTCAGCGGTATGTCGTCGTCGATTGGTATCTTGTCGCCACCGGCTGCGGAAAATCGGCCCAGCGTTAGCACCGTTGGCTGATCGATGTCGATGAACGGCGGCGGGATCTCCTCGTCCTCGTCCTCGTTCTGGCTCTCGAGGTCACCGCCGTCCACGCTGTACTCGACGCTCGCGATCTCGTGACGGTGATTGCAAGCGATTACGTCCATCCTGGACAGTCTGTAACATCTACGGTGAAGAAACGTGTTTGATTTTAGTTCGATGGTCGCGCGAGCGTCGTTCCGCGAGCAATCGGCGCGAAAGCGAATCGGATCGGCGATCGTTCTCTCACTCTCGTCGTCCCGCGTCATCGCCGCGGTCTCTCCAACCTACAAACGTCGCTCGCCAGTGATATCCACACGCGCCTCCCCGCTCGAGATATATCGACGACGCGTCGCTCGCCGCGAACATCGGCAACTTCCGGTTAGGTTTCGGTTTCTCAGACTTTTGATTTTACTTCTTGCGTTACTTCGTGAGCGCGATATTGTGAAATTGTTAAAATTGTCTTTTTTTCTTCTTCGTTTTAATTAACGAAAGTTGAAGAAATATCTTTCCTCCCCGCTTGCAAGACTTTCTCGCGAGTGGCTAAAAAACCGAGGAAGAAAGTGAAGCAAAGTAACAACCCGAGAGAGAACCTGATCTTCCACGGTTAGTGAACGGTAACAGAGACGGATGAAGACGGACGAGATCCCGGTGGATAGTTTATCGCGTAACACGTCGCAACATTGTTGCACACTTCGGCGTAATGTAATGACTTTCGCGGAGGAACATGGGCGTGTTCGCCTGCCAAAAGAAAATCGCGTTCGATTCTTCCGCGCGATAGATACGCGTCACGAGGTCGCCGGCTTAAATAAACGATCGCTGCTTTCGTACGATCATGACGAGACATCCTCGTTGTAATTCTCTTTAAACGATACGGCAGCCTGTATAAAAATGGTTATCGATGCGTCGGCCGCACTACATGAACGAGAAAGTTTATCTCCCGCACGAATCTCACGGCGCTCACGATCGTTTATAACTTTTTTTAAATATCGTCGAGACTTTCGCGAGGCGTGTTATTCGGCCAATTTTCCTACAACGTCGTCACGTACCTATTTAAATTATATAAACGGCAGCTGTCAGCATTCTGCGGAACGGACCTTGAACAGGCTACCTGAAACAGAGAAATTCACGGTTGTCACTCGAGCTCGATACTGATCGCGAGTCCATTTGCTTCGATCCGGTGGATCGATAATTGTTTAGATTGCACGACGATGTGTATGATTTTCGAGAGTGCTTCTCGCGTGTACAATTGCAATTCGAATATGGCGCCTAAAACAACGCGATGAAGTAATGTTTGTTGCCCTGTGTGTAAGTGTGAACTGAGTACAGTGTCCACAAAAATATTCAAACATCAAGATATTGTAGGCGAAATTTTTTTTATGCATAACGTGTGAAATCGTAGAGAAATATTCTATGTATTGTTTATAGAGAAATTCCTCGAATATTTTCACGAGCAACTTTATACGGACACTTTGGCCGAGTGTAAAATATCATCTGTTACTCAAAGAGTTAATGAGAAGACCACCGTCTTCTTGCGCAGTAAGCGCGAAACTTATAAACGTTTGTTTAAAATCATGCCATGATAGTCTTACTCGTAACTTGATTTTCTATCAAGCTGCCTTTCCTTCGAATTTATTTCGCGTTCGACGAATCCCTTAACACGTTCCGTGCCATGTGTACCACCGGTGGTACACGTTAAACTTCTTCAGGCCACGTGTACCACCATATTTCTAATATTACTACAAGTGGTAGACGATGTGATAGCTACTCTAAACAAGAGAAC